GGCAAAGATCACGTACCATTATAAATATAGCCTAAAAGATATGAACTATGTGAGTTACTAATGAACAAAATATTTTCATCCTTTAACATTGGACCGATTCCAGAATAAAGAAAATTTTCACTAAGTAATCACGTCTTCATTATAATTCTGTAAGTTAATCGCAAGTTTTATTATCACTGTCCTGTTAAGACTCAACGGAGGCAGATGGATGATTCATACTCAGGCTTCCGTAGGAAAGCCGCAAAAGGGGGTCATGGTCCCATGCGTTCCTTGCGTAAACCGTGGAAACTGGGAATGAGAGTGCGACAACTTGTGTTATCATGTGCCCGCTCTTCGTAAACAACATAATATACAGAATGCTGTGTTTCGTCAAGACCGCTTTGCAGAGATTCCTGTCTTCTACGCTCATCCCACATGCAAATGTACACACCGTTCGTGGTAGGCCCACGCTAAATGATGTCGAGTGTTTTCGGAATGAGCTGGTCGACGAACTTCATAGCTTGAAAGCTAGCCAAATGTGCAAAGTTCACTCTTGTTCTCACGAGATAACAAATGAGCCATATGTGAGCGAATGGGCAAGGAGCTATGTAACTATATAAGAAATATAGCTATATAGCTATATAGCTTTTGAGCTATATAGCTATATAAGCAAGGAGCTATGTAACTCAGTTTCGCCCTGACAGCAAAGAAGCTTTTAATGAGTCGCCTTCGGTTGATCCTAAGGTGTCGGATACAAAGTGGTCGGATACAAAGGCGGACACAAAGCAAAACAATGGATCATCTAAATCTCAATCTTCCAAAACAACGAAGAATCGCCAAAGCAAATCGAGCAAGAAAAAGCCGCCAAACAAGAGTTCTCAGAACAGCTCTAATACTCTTAACCACAACCAAGAAAGTTCCTCGCCGACCACCGTCATTATTAGCGATTCTATTATCAGAAACATACAAGGGTGGCAATTAGGGAAAAAAGTCGGCCACTGGGTTGTTGTAAAGTCCTTCGCGGGAGCTACAACAAGTGATATGTAACATTATGTGAAACCAACACTGGACAAGAAGCCGCACCAGATCATTTTACATGCTGGTACTAACGACCTTGGAAACTATCCCCAAGCGAAATCGCTGATAACATCGTTGACCTAGCGAGGGAAATTGAAAGCTCCACGGACGCCCAAGTAATAATATCAGAGCTTGTCACAAGATCGGACCTCTCATATAACGGCGATGTTGATGCAGTCAACAAAAGGCTTCGAAAATTCTGCAATCAGCGACAGTGGCACTTCATACTCCACGATGACATTCACTCAACGGACTTAAATAGAGGAGGACTTCATCTTGGGGAGACAGGTATTGCCAAAATGTATAACAACTTCGCGAATAAATTACATGAATGTAGTTGACCTACTGGCCGTCTGTTCAATTCAGAGCGTAATCGCGACCTTGGAAATCCAATCGTTTCTCACCAATTTCTCCCGCCTAAACGAGGCTTTAAATTGGCCTCGCTANTTTGTAATTAATTCTACTTTTGATTGCATTTCCTCTCATAACCACTTTATCAACTGTAAATAGCAGGGTTAGAAAGGTCTCAATAACAGTATAAAGTGCAAGTAGTTTTTTCTGTGAAATTCTGCGTAGTGTATTATTAGCATCAGAATCCATTGTGGCCAGCGTGAAATAAAGCTCAAGGGAAAGTTTTATCATTCATACATTAGTCAACAACTCGCAGTTCCTCCTACACAGCAATTATCACCACGTCTTCCTTTGCCGGTAGTCTGGAAAAGCTGGAATCCGGAATACTGCCGGAATTCCGCCGGAATATTTCAACGTCTGTTTTTTAATTCAAAACGACTCCGGTGCTTTCCCGGAATTGAAATTGCGTAAATGGCAGACTGACCCTCGGATAGTTTTCTATTAATCCTCGGAGTATATATTCGGAGCTCGTACACTGTTACCTTTGCGGCTCATTTTATTAAAAAACGTGCCTTAAGCACGTTAAAGAACTGTTTTACCCTGATTGGAAATACAGTGACCCATACCAGGACTACAACAAACGTAACGAGTGACTTCAAAATCTAAAACACGTGAGAATAAGTCACGTGATATTACGTAACGAAACAACCGGAAATGAAATTAACGAAACGGAATTAAAATGGTAGCCACATACCCTCTTCGGAAAAATCTTGAAAAAAGAAAAAAAAAGAATTGAAAGAACAAGCCTTCAAAAATTCAGGGCTCTCTGGGTAACTTCGGAAACCATCGAATAATCTTAGCGTTAATAATCGGAGTATATTCGGAGCTCGTACACTCTTCGGAAAATCATCGGAGTCGTTTTGAATTAAAAAAACAGACTTTGAAATATTCCGGCGGAATTCCGGATTCCGGCTTTTCTAGACTACCTTCCTTTGCCCACCTAGCAATTGAATTCGAAACGTACATTTTACATTTTCTGAGCCACGGACGCTATTTACTCAACTACAATTGTCAGTCCATCGTATTAATTATGCAGACACTAAAGAAATACCGGCAGCATCAGAGAAAGACAATCATTGCGTTGATAGTTGATTCACTTTCAATATGAGGAATTTCTTAGATGCAATTTCTTTCCACATAAGCACATCTGGCTCCGGTTGCTGGAAGGTTGGATAACTCGCTACCCAGTCGATAAATCTTTATCTTGTGGATAGCGCAGTACGTTTTACTATCATTTTTCCGCCGGCTAGCGATTTATCCGTAGGATAGCGTTATCTTCCTCTTATACAACTGGCCACTGAACTTTTGTTTTACCTGCTTTTGTCTATTCCACTTTTTTTATATATATATTTAGTTTTTTTTTTTTACTTTTTGTTGCAATTTTTCGGACTCATCTGCGCCACGACAGTTTATAGATTGTGGCATTTTATTCCTATCATTATCTTTTTTTTTTTCTTCGTTCTTTTATTTTTCTTCCTAAAAGTTATGCCAATGCTAAAACACATATTTAGGTACTTCCCATACAACACTAAGATTCCATCAAAACAACGAGGGGTTAAGGATTTTATACTTAAAATGTAGTAAAACTGTCTTGTATCTGAACTAGCAAGTATTTATAGCATTTCCGAGTTTCTTTTGTGTGTGACATTAACCTATGACTGCTTTTACTACAATCAAAACTGAAATTTGAAAACATCCCTTTGATGCTTTGTGAGATATAACGTAACTGCTCATTTCTTCATGTCTGGGTTTCTTTCAAATTTTTAATTTACATCGCGGTTCCGGTTGGGTGGCCACATTTTAGCAAAGGATAATTTGAAGAAATTAGAAAGAATTACTCTGTCAAAAACAAACCTTCCGACAAATTAAGCGTTATGGTGCTCTTTACTTTACGCTTGGTGTGGTTAACTAAGAGCATAATGCGAACACTGTCAGAATTTTCTTGTTTAAAATTAAAACTGAGCCATGCAAGCAAACAAGAAAATGAAATAGATTACAAAGCGGCGAATGTAGACGGCTTGATCGAGAGACGTTTTGACGTATTTCCTTTGATCTCTGTAAGCCTGCATTTTTAATATCCTTGAGTAGTCTGAGTTGGTTTCCAGAATTAAAAAAAAAAAAAGGAATATAATAGCTTGTAGGAAATGTGCGAGTTTGAAGTCGGATATTTTCAGTTAAAGTTTGTGATAATTAAAAATTTAATTTTTCATAGAAAAAACAGCACTTTCATCGATTTGCATACGTTAAAGTTTACCATAACATCACCTTCTGTGAACATGTTGTCGTCTTCTCCTGTTTTTAATTTGTTTGAGTATATCATCTGTCTCGTGCCCACCAGTTAAGAATGGGCATAAATGGAAGATCTGAACTAAACAGTTATTTGGTCGCCTTTCGTGGCCCATAGGGGATGTTGAGTTTCCTTCAGCGAGTTGAAGTTTAAAATGTATTTCCTCTTCAACATTGTTGTCAAAAAGGACTTTCTATCAAGATTTTGGCACAGTAGGAGGCCGATGCATCTCCTCTCGAGACGCAATTATTTGCCAATTGCAAATTGCGAAGAAATAAGGCATTTTGTCAGCGAGTTCTACATTTCCGCTTTGGGATCGTACTGTCAATGGAAGCGCCCTCGGGGTTTCTTTGTCGCTTTTTCAGTATCCCAGTTTTAAGAGAAACTTCCTCGCAAACTAATTAGTCTGTTGAAGCAGGGAGGCGCATTCATTCATAAGACACCATTCGTTCTTTGAAAAGGGAAAATCTATTATCCCATCAAAAATTTACCTTGATTATGGAACCTTTTGGCCTATTTGACTCCGTGCAATTAGAAAATGCAAAACGTACAAATTGGACACTTTGCCTCGCAAATAAACTAGCCACCTAGTAATATATTATGTTTCATGAGGCATGCAAAGACTGAAAGGCGTCTAGAAAGTCCATAAACATTTTTTTGAGGATTTGCAACATAATCCCTCGGAAATTTGCTTAACCCTTTCAAGCAGAAAATTTAGTTCTCCAAAACAAAGTATACACATTTTCTATCCTCTATATTAAATATCTTATTCGGTTACGAAACTGAAAAATAAACTCCCTATATTTCCTAAAGCTCTACGGCAGGTGCAAATGTATTATTATCGAGGTAACCCGAATCCCTGACGCATAATGATGTGACAGATTATTGGTTTTTCGCTATAAATTGTCATGAATGGTTCTGCACGTTTCGCATAAGTATGTTCAAGAATAGTAACAAGGAAATCTCGAATCCTTTCACATGCAATGAAAAGTGAAGAGGTTAACTCTTTGACGGCAAATGGTATTTCAATGAGCTCATCTTGCTTGAGATTGTTGTAGTATAGAACTGGTCGATGCGCAGCGACTGTCTCTAAAATGTGGTTTGGGACTACTTTCGATCCCCTCAGCGAACAGGATATTCTTTTTTTTTAACTGTTACAACCGTTATGAACCTGTCAATCCGTGACAAAAAAAAAAAAAAACATCTTGCGGAAACTCGCAAGAATAAATAGAGGTCATCCCAATTATGTAACAGCAGTCTGCTTTGTCCCAGAAACTCTCTCTGATCAAACGTCAACCTGTGTTCTCCAAGGAAACAAGACTCTCGCTTGGAAAAGAAACATGGCGGGCAATGGGTCTTACATATATCAGAAGGATCTGACAAGTTTTGAACGTTACTTCCTCGCTACCATAAACGTATTTTTTAGTCTGTGCGGTATCTTGGGCAACGTGCTTGTCTTCGTTGTGATAGCACGCAAACGGCAACTACACACCGTCTCTAACACGTTCATAACGAGTTTAGCAGCGGCAGATCTCCTCGTTTGTGTCTTTTCGCAGCTCATGTACGCAGTTTTCCTGTATGGTTTGCCACCAAATACAGCATACAGCAACACACGGAAGGTGTTTTCATTTGTCTCCGTTCTGGCATCAATTAGCAACTTGGCTGCCGTGACGATCGATCGCTACATAGCCATCGTTAACCCGATGCAGTACCAGCTCGGAGCCAATTTCAAGAGCGCCTCTCTCCTCCTTTGCGCCATTTGGGTCGTGTCTTTGTCACTGGGAATACCGAGTGGTTTCGTACGATCTATTCAACAAATCGCAGTGTACTATACAATCGCACTCTTGTTAGTAATAGCTCCGATCTATGTGCGAATTTATTCAATCGCTCACAATCAAGCAAGGGTCATCACTGAGCAAGCTAAACATATCAAGAAAGATTCAAAAAACAAACCTGAAAAGGAGAATATAGCTGCAAAAACCATTGGGTACGTCCTAGCCGTCTTTATCATTTGCTGGTTTCCTTTGCTCATAACTCCGATGATCTTTCGTCACAGTGAGAACAGCCGCATTGTCAGAAAAGCTTTGAAATGGGCTCAGACTCTCGCTTTATGCTCGTCGGCCTTGAACCCTATTATTTATAGCTTGAAAACGCAGATTTTCAGAAAGGAATTGAGAAAAGTATTCAGAATCGCTTTTAAACGACATTCTTGGGAAGACAAACAGACGACGTATGTCTAAAAACTCGCCGTTCTTGCCAGAAAGCGCGAGAACTTTGTCTGTATAACAATGATTTCTCCCCACAATTTAATTAGGATACATTATTTTGTATAATTTACCCTTGTTGGTATGGAAGATATTCAGAATGGGAAAGCGTATAATGTGTAACAGAATGATTACAAAAAACGCTTTAATCGATGTGCAAATATTCCAATTTATTGGCCTTTCAAGTCGCGCTCGATGTACCAGTTGTCATAACTTATTGCATTATAAGAAAACTCCATTCTGAACTAGTGATGCAACAATAAGATTTCGCCAAAAAATTCTATCGATTTATATGCATGTAAGATTGTACATAATGTATACTTTAGCCGTTGGCGAAAACGGAAATTCATCTACAGCCGAATGAGCAAACTTACTCGCTCCGACGTCAATCGTAAAATCATTGAGTTATCATCATTCAAAGATGTTTGTGTAGATATAGTCCACTCTCATTTCTTTCGCGTTACGCCATTCAAAAGACTCCGAAAATTAAAAAATAAACACTCGTTATAAAGACTTTTTATAAGTACGCGTTTACAACAATATAAGGCTATGTAGTTTTTAATTTTGTACGTGTACCACCTCCGTAATTTGTTTTCGTTTCGAGATCAGTTTAAGTGGCTCACCTGATAACTGAATCATTTGAGAGGCTGTTGCCTAAAGTCGCGTTGAGAATCATCGAAGTGTAAACATTCAAAACGAAATTTTCTATCTGCTGTTTGTGTCGATCACTCGCCTGTGTCTTTAGTGGATATTGTGTATAAATGATGTCCTCCCCATTAAGTTGTTTTGACGCTTTTGACCACATATCTTGTTCCGCGATTAAATATGCACGATGTATGAAAGTAAATACAGTAATTTTTATTTCAAATGGATGCTACGATTTTGAGTTTTCGCTCCCTGGTCTAATGACGGTTGTCTCAGTAAACACCAACACCATGAAATAACAACTGAAAGCTGTGGATAGTATAAACTGTCCACCTTTAAGTATGATCTAAGTCATAATGACACACACTTTGATCTGCCCACCTTTGATGCAAAATGGGCCGAATTGTACAGCGGTTTTTATTCTACCGCGTAATATATCTGTACATAAACAAATTTGATATGAAAAAGTCGTAAAATAATCTGCTTACATAACCGATTGTTGTACTATATATATGAAGAAAATAGGCTGCTTTTCCCTAATTTGCTCCCAAAATCAATTTTGATAGATAACCAAAAGAACCAAGCCTGCCTTTTAAAAGTGTTTAATTTAATGTAAAGACTTCTTGATGAAATCTTATCGAATTTGCATACCTAGAATATTTCCTTTTCGAAATATTCCGTATCTACCTACCCGAAAAACCAAAAAAAAATTGTTTAATCAATTCTGATCACGTACGTGATTAAATGATGGAAAAGGCGCTGAAACCTGACTCTGTTGACAGTAGAACTGAATTTAGTCAAAATAGACATTTTCGTACTACATTCAATGCCAGAGGGCATCCCATCTCCAAGCCATTAGTCATTCCCTGTTTGTCTGTGTGATGATGGTAGTCGATCCTTTCTCGAATCCCAATTTATCCATATTTGTCTACTTTTACTGAAGCTTAGAAAAAGAAAAATTGTTGGTAAGTTATCTCATGATCGTCGCGGGTTATGTCGATGGTCCATGTACCATTTTGATCTGTCGCCACATATATACATGTCCTTCAAAAAAATACCCATCTACGTCTATCTTAAACCTTAACTGTGTGTTTAAAAGTCTTCTGTGATTTGTTTTCACACGCGTTTTTTGTCGTGCGAAAAACATTGCCTGAAGCTTTAGTCTAAAGTGTTGAGGTGAAAGTATTTGCATATTTGTGACTGAAATATTTTTTGCATGTGGTTATCAGGTGATTGATTTTAAAAATCAAAATGCATAAGAAAATGTTGGAAACAAAGATTTACGAATTTGGTCGCTCGTTTTCTTGTGAGAGCCTTTGAAAATCAGTATAGAGAAGTTCAGGCTAATAGCAAGGTTGGCCTAGGAGTAAGTCAAGGTTTATCATCAATGAAATTCCTGAAGGTTCATGCATTCATTTTATTTACCATTACCAGAAAAAAATTAACCGAATACAAAATTTATGATACATTAAAGATAAAAAGAACTGTAATTCTAACTAAATTAACTTCAAAATCAAAGGAACTGAAGAGGTAACAGCAAGGAAGCCTACTAGAAGCCGGGGGCTTATAAAGTACAGGTTCCTTAAACGATAGGATAAACCATACAAGTCAAAGGTGCTGAATGAAAATTTAGATTATGTTGCCAAAAAGAAAAGAAAAAAAGAGAAAAAGGTGTGAAGCTTAACAAAGAATGTATTTAACTAAGAGGGAAGAATTTTTTTAAGCCTTTTGCTAAACAAGCAGATGTTTTCAGAGTATTGAATTTCCCGACTTAGCGTGTTGAAAAAACTTTGGACCTTGAAACCGAATAGAAAATTTTCGAAAATTAGTTCGATCATGAGGTATGTAGAAAAAGCAGGAATTTCTTATATTATAAGAATGTATCTGGCTAGCAAGAGTAAACATATCATGAAAATAATTAGGAAGTAAGCCTCTTTTAAACAGATACATAAATTTACCTATTAGGTAGAAATAGATGTCCGAGAATTTTAAGATCCCATGTTGTTTAAAAAGAACATCGTTATGTGAATCAAAAGAAACTTTAGATATGATTCTGATTATCTTCTTTTGCAGAATAATAATACGATTTAAATTGGACTGATATGTCGATCCCCAAACTGAAACACGATAAGTTAAGTAAAAGTAAACTAAACTATAATATAAGGAGCGCAAGGAAGTTTTGGAAAGACAGAAACCGGACTTGCAAATGATACCACTTGATTTCGATATTTTTCTAGAAACGCTAAGAATGTGAGGCTTCCATGACAATTGCTCATCAAGGATAACACCTAAAAATACTGTTTCTTTCACACGTCCAATAACATTGTTGTCAATTTGAATAGATATATCAAGTGTCTGCCTTTTTTGGCGAGGACTAAAAATCATAAAATTCGATTTTTTAAAATTAATGGACCGCTTATTTGCTTGAAACCACTGAGCTAATTGAAGCAATTCAGAGTTCAAAATTTCACGAAGTAAATTAAAATCTTTGTGGGACAAAAATATATTTGTGTCATCAACAAAGAGAATAAGGGTTAACGCTCGAAACGTCAGCTTTTATAATCGTAACGGTGGCCAATTTACCATTTCAACTTTGTTGATATATTCAAATTATTAAATTAAAAACATGTTTAGTGTTAAAGATCGTGCTCCTGATGCTCTAAAATCCATGGTAGTTTACCAATTTTCTTGTGCGGGATGTAATTCCCGTTATATTGGCGAAAGTGCTCGCCACTTTTCTACCAGGATAAAGGAGCACACGGAAAGCGATAAAAACTCGCATATTTTTAAGCATTTCAACACATCTCCTTCTTGTAAGAACAAATACTCCCCTTCTTGTTTTAGTATTCTGGATTAACAACT